TGGTAATTTCAAAGAGACAGGAGGATAAATTTACAATGACGGGAAGAAACCAGCGTAAAAAAGCTGAGAATACTCAAAGTCAGAACGCCTCTCCCTCTAAAGATGATCACAGTTCCACATCAACAATGGAACAAGGCTTGATGGAGAACGAGCGCATCCCAATGACAGAATCACTCTTCAAGGAATGGATAATAACAAACTTCGGTGAGTTAAAAGACCATGTTGTAGCCCAACGTAAAGAAACTAGGAACTTTGACAAAAGGCTTGATGAAATCCTATTGAGAATAGACAACTTAGAGAGGAGTATGAGTGAATTAATGGAACTGAAGAATACAATACAGGAACTCCGAGAAGTATGCACAGGTTTAAACACTCGAATTGTTCAAGCAGAAGAAGGGATATCAGAGGTCAAAGTCCAACTTAATGAAATAAAACGTGAAGAAAAGATTAGAGAAAAAAGGATAAAAAGGAATGAGCAAAGTCTCCAAGAAATGTGGGACTATGTGAAAAGACCAAATTTACGTTTGATAGGTGTACCTGAATGCAACGGAGAGAATGAATCCAAGCTGGAAAATACCCTTCAGGATATTATTCAGGAAAATTTTCCTAAACTAGCAAAGCAGGTCAACATTCAACTCAACCCCAGGTAATACAGAGAACACCACAAAGATATTCCTCAAGAAGACCAACCCCAAGGCACATAATCGTTAGATTCACCAGGGTTGAAACGAAGGAGAGGATACTAAGGGCAGCCAGAGAGAAAGGTCGGATAACCCACAAAGGCAAGCCTATCAGACTTACAGCAGATCTCTCGGCAGAAACTCTACAGGCCAGAAGAGAGTGGGGGCCAATATTCAACATCCTCAAAGAACAGAACCTTCAGCCCAGAATTTCATATCCAGCCAAACTAAGCTTCACAACTGAAGGAAAAATAAAATCTTTTATGAACAAGCAAGAACTCAGAGATTTTATTACCACCAGGCCTGCTTTACAAGAGCTTCTGAAAGAAGCATTACACACAGAAAGAAACAACCAGTATTAGCCTTTCTAAAAATACACCAAAAAGTAAAGAGAACCAACATAAAGAAGAATTTACACCAACAAATGGATAAAACAGCCAGTCAACATCAAATGGCAGTAACCCTAAATTTAAATTGACTGAATTCCCAATCAAAAGACACAGCCAAAACCCAACGGCATGTTACATCCAGACCTGTTTCACATGCAAGAATACACAAAGACTCAAAACAAAGGGATGGAGAAAGATTTACCAACCAAATGGAGAGCAAAAATAAATAATAAATAAATAAAAAGCAGGAGTTGCAATTCTCGTATCGGATAAAATAGATTTTAAAGCAACAAAGATATAGTGGTAAAAGGATCAATGCAACAATAAGAGCTAATGATCCTAACACCCAGATAGGAGACTTAGATTCAATGAGACAGAAAATTAATAAGGATATCAAGGACTCGAACTCAGATCCAGAACAAGTAAACTTAATAAATATTTATAGAGCTCTCCACTTCAAATACACAAAATATACATTCTTGTCAATACCACATCACACCTACCCATTAGTTTAAATGAAACATTGATTGGCCATTATTAATACCCAATTTTTTTCAAAATAAAGCAATATTTCCATTTACTCTCCCTCTTTCTCTTCCTCTTTCTTCCTCTCCTTTACTTATTTTTTTATTTTTTTTTTTTTTTCTTTCCTTCTCTCAAAAAAAAAAGAAATCAACTTGTAAACCTCTAGATCCAGGTCGGCAATGTCTCTTTCATTGTTTGATTTCCTTTCTTCCCTTCCCTCCCTCCCTCCCCGCTTCCTCCCTTCCTTCCTTCCTTCATCCCTTCCTTCCTCCCTACCGTCCTTCTTCCCTTCCTTCCTGCCTTCCTCCCCCCACCCAAAAAAAAAAAAAAAAAAAATTTGATTCAGGAAAGGAAATGTCTTTTTGGTGTAAACAGGTAGACTACAAAAGGGATTAAAAACACTGCTGCTACATAGAGCTTGCTAATGCCGATGAAGTTATATTATCCCCCTAGATGAAATCTCAATCCTCTATCTTTCCATTCAAATGACTAAAAGTGAACAAACCAAGGGGAAGCAGGGTGTTGATTTTTTTTTTTTTTTTTTTTTGAGACAGAGTCTCACTGTCTCCCAGGCTGGAGTGCAGTGGGGTGATCTCGGCTCACGGCAACCTCTGCCTCCTGGGTCCAAGCAATTCTCCTGCCTCAGCCTCCCAAGTAGCTGGGATACAGGCGCATGCTGCCAAACCTGGCTAATTTTTTCTATTTTAGTAGAGACGGGGTTTCACTGTGTTGCCCACCAGGCTGAACAACACTCCTGAGCTCAGGCAATCCGCCTGCCTCGGCCTCCCCAAAGAGCTGGCATTATAGGCATGAACCACTGCGCCCAGCCAGGGTGTTAAATTTTATATGAAAATGAAAAGATCTGATTTTTCAGAATGGCCAAGAAAAGATATATCAAGGAAGAAGTTTCCACTTCCACTTTCCAAGCCCACTGTGGTTCAAAAGTTTTACCTGCTGCACTGCTGTATTGTAGCTCCTGCCAGGGGCCAGCAGAGTTGGTTAGCAATGACCCTAAATTCTGCAGGCAGCTCTCATCACAGTCACCTGGAGAACCTGAAGGAGCAGGGCCTGTCCCTCCCACACAGGAAAGCTCCACCATCTGCATGTTTCAGCAGTTCCCCAGGCCATTCTAATTTGTAACCCAAGCTGAGAACTAGGGTTAGCTTTTATTTCCCATCAGGTGTTCTTGTTTTCAGTATTTCAGTGTGAACCCTCTTGAAGAATAATAAACAAAGAGTACTATTAGCTTAGAACTGATACAGCTCAGTAGAAATTGAACAGAAAAAAACTTACTTGGAAGCCCTCTGGGATGTTGCTCTTCTGAGCACTTGTTTGTGGTTGGGTGGGGGTTTGGGGACCAGGAAGGTGCAAGAATTTGGAGGTGGTATCACTTTTTGTGGCAGAGTGGTTGGCTTCTGGCCACTAGCTGTGGCACTGGAAATTCTGCAGCCTGCACCATTATTCACTGTCCATAAATTGGAGTTAGGTAGTGTATGGCTGCCAAAGATTGCCTACAAAAAAAAAAAAAAAAAAAAAGATTGATGAAGCTCACCTTCACATCCCATTTGCTGTATGCAACTAGTCTGTAATCCTGTCAAGGAGCAAAAAGAAAAGAACTGTTAATTTTTTTTAAAAGAAATGTTGTCAGTACAGCTCTAGATTCAGAGAAGAGGAATATTTTGGAGCAGAGTTGAGATGGTCTTGTTGAAAGCATACTGGGCTAGGAATCAGGGCACCTAGGACACTAAGTATTAGTCCACATGTGTGAACTAGAAACGCATTTGCTGTCTTCTCTCACTGTAGTTTCCTTCATTGTTAAATTCAACACATTTTTAATGAATGTCTCTTTTGAGGCATGTAGTACTAGAAATAGAGCACAGAATAAAACTGACTTGTAGCTTGACTTGATTCCTGCCCACTCTGAAACTCTGAGCTCCTCTAGAAAGTTTGCATGTAGGAGGCAAGTGGGGAGGTCAGTGTGGCTACGGCATGGTGAGCAAACAGAGAGGGAAAGATGAGGCTGCAACAGGAACCATGAGCTAGGCCTGGTTATAATCTTCAGGCCGAGTTTAGAATTCTAGCACAGAAACACTTTGTTGACCTAAAGATTAATGTAAGATTTTACATTTGAAAATACTTTCAAAGCAAAATTACTACACAAATACATGTTATATGAATACAATTGACACAAAAATATTTTTGCTCAGAGGGTAAGCCTATAAATAAAGACCTAAAAATCACCATCTAAACATCACAAATGCCAAAATATATATTTAGGATATAAAAGTATACTTCCAGGAGGCTGAGGCAGGAGAATTGCCTGAACCCAGGAGGCGGAGGTTGCAGTGAGCCGAGATCACGCCATTGCACTCCAGCCTCGGCAACAAGAGTGAAACTCCGTCTCAAAAAAAAAAAAAAGAAAGAAAGAAAGTATACTTCCTTCAAGTAGATGCTTAAAAAGTTTTTACAATTTATCTATTTCATTAGAAATAGTCTTTTTGTTTCTCAATTTGTTACTGGTCTTTTAATACTGTTAACACTGCTTTCAACATGCATGCACTGTAAAAACTTTAAATGAGAAATAATATGAAGAGAAAAATAACATCATTGACAAAATACATAGTATTTTTTTTTAAAAAGAATTTCTGGCAATTGATTTCCATTGTATATAACAACATGTAAAGGACTCATGGCAGGGCATGATAAAATAATATGAGATGCTCTTAGGAAATAGTCATCTTCTAGACAGTTTGCTAGTATTATTTTGGCCCTTTATGGATTTCTTTTTCAGATTTAAAAGATGAACTGGGTAGCTTTAGTAAAATGTTAACCAACCCTTCTATAAGCATGACTTAAAATGTTCCACTTTCAGAAAATGTATCAAAGGTCCTAGACTAAGCAGATATGAGGGGGATCCAGGAGTTTTGTGTGGAGTAAATGTGTTTGACTGAGATGCTTGATGAAGAACAAAGAGATTTCAGTGGGAAACGGTCTGAGCATTTTCAATCTGACCAATCTGACTGAGATATCACCAACCTGTATAAACCACCTGAGGGAGAAAGTGAAGAGCTATAATTCTTCTCCATCTCTGAGTCACAGAAGAGGAACAAAGACAAAGCCAGGTATGGTGGCTCACCCCTATAATCCTAGCACTTTGGGAGGTTGAGGCATGTGGATTGCTTGAGCTCAGGAGTTCAAGACCAACCTGGGCAACATGGCAAAACCCTGTTTTTACAAAAAATACAAATATTAGCTAGGTGTGGTGGTACACGCCTGTAGTCCCAGCGGCTGAGGTAGAAGAATTCTTTGAGCCAGGGAGGTGGAGGATGCAATGGGTGAAGACTGCAACACTGCACTCCAGCCGGGGTGACAGAGCGAGACCCCGTCTCAAAAAAAAAAAAAAAAAAAAAAAAAAAAAAAAAAGCAGGGGAAGAGGATCAAAGACAGATGCAAGGCCATAAGCAAATCCAGGAGGGCAGCACTGTTGAGCGTGGACACATGGGGAGGTTTCCAGATGGTCCAAGAGAATCGAGAAGCCCTGACCCTTCTAAAGTAGGCATTCTGAGGACAAGGAAACAAAGCTTCCAGCAGGACGCAGGCTTCTGGGACAGGTTCTACAACAAACCCTTTCTTTGCAGCTGCTGTTACCATATTTGAGGGCCTTAAAATCTGTGTGAGAAACTCAATTGGAAATAAAGAGGGACACAGGAATGGAATGCCCCAGGCTTCTATTTTCACCACTACATCCTAATAACTGAGGTTAGGCATAAGGAGTGTTTGAGATGTGCATCATTCAAGATGGGAAGAGACCAAAAATCAGAATGAGGGCTGAAGAGTTCTACACTGAGCCATCCATAAAGAAACTTCCTGGGTGAGTAGCAGAGGAGGGAAAAAAACATTAGCAAAGAGCTCTTAGAAATAAACATATTCTTTATTAAATTACATATTTAATATTGTAAGGAAACTGCCATTAGTAAGAACATCTATTCAATAAATGTTGCCATGGTGACAACTATATTTTCAAATTCATCAATTTTTTGCCCCCAAATCTAGGACATCTAAATACAAAAGAAATAATGAATGAAAACAGCAGGTTCAGAACAGTGAGTTTAGTGAGCTCCTATTTTTTTTTTAAAAGAATAATACACATCACATATATCTACATATTTATGTACACACACACATATACACTCTAGTAGTATCTGTACAGAACAATTCTGGAAGGATACAGAAAAAACTGGTAGCCTTCAGGGAGAAGAACTGGTTAGCTAGGGATGAAGGTAGGAGGGGGACTAACTTTTTACTATATATCATTTGCATCTTTTTTTTTTGAGACAGAGTCTTGCTCTGTCGCCCTAGCTGGAGCGCAGCGGTGTGATATTGGCTCACTGAAACCTCTGCCTCCTGGGTGTAAGAAATTCTCTGCCTCAGTCTCCTGAGTAGCTGGGATTACAGGCGCCGGCCACCACGCCTGGCTAATTTTTGTATTTTTAGTAGAGATGGGGTTCATCATGTTGGCCAGGCTGGTCTCCAACTCCTAACCTTGTGATCTACCCACGTTGGCCTCCGAAAATGCTGGGATTACTGGCGCAAGTCACCAGCACCTGGCCATTTGTATCTTTTGAATTTTATACTATGTGCATTTAGTGATTTATTACAAAAATAAATGATTTAAATGACAGTCTAGTTCTAATAACATTTAAGGAGGTAATAAGTTGTCACAGAGTACAAATCAAGATACCCAAGTAAAACCCGAGTTTTAACCAGCTGGATATAGGATTTCTATTAGATTGGGTTAAAGAAAGAATTAACTGCTCAACACTGGCTACAAAAGCAGATTAGGTCATTGGTGAGAGGCAGAGAGACCCAGAGTAAATGGAAAAGACATAGCTTGCAATCAAATGTACCTCAGCTCAAATGCAGGCCTTATCACTTACAAAGTGAATGATCTTTTCAAGTTAACTTCTCAGAGCTTCAGTTTTCTCACAAGCAAATACAATTACTTCACCTTTAGAAGATGAGGAGGTTGGCTGTGTGCAGTGGCTCGAGCCTGTAATCCCAGCACTTTGGGAGGCCGAGGTGGGTGGAGAATGAGGTCAGAAGATCAAGACCATCCTGGCCAACATGGTAAAACCCTGTCTCTACTACAAATACAAAAATTAGCCAGGCATGGTGGCAAGTGCCTGTAATCTCAGCTACTTGGGGGCTGAGGCAGGAGAACTGCTTGAGCCCAAGAGGTGAAGGTTGCAGTGAGCTGAGATCACGCCACTGGACTCCAGCCTGGGCAACAGAGTAAGAACCTGTCTCAAAAAAAAAAAAAAAAAAAAAAAAAATTAGCTGGGTGTGGTGGTGCATGCCTGTAGTCCCAGCTACTTGGGAGGCTAAGGCAGGAGAATTGCTTGAACCTGGGAGGCGGAGCTTGCAGTCAGCCAAGATTGCACCACTGTACTCCAGCCTGATGACAGAGAGAGATTCTGTCTCCAAAAAAAGAAAAAGAAGATGAGTAGCTTAATTAAAAAAAAATCACTTACTTCATTGGATTTTTGGAAGTTAAATGAAGATAATGTAGGTAACCTTAGCCTAGGCATTCAGTAAGGATTTCTGAAATAAAGCAAAGACCTAGGCACACAGCAGGCACTCAGCAAATGTTCCATTTCTTCCCAAACCTCTATCTACCTTGGTTCTACTGAGAAACGAAAGGATGGGATGACAGGAAAGTCTACCTATCAGTAATCCTTTGTAGTTGCTTACCATTTTTCAACATATTTTTCCAGACTTATGTCACTCACTAGTTATGAAAGCAAATTCTATTTCTAAGGCTTTGAGGAATCGCCACACTGTCTTCCACAATGGTTGAACTAATTTACACTCCCACCAACAGTGTAAAAGTGTTCCTATTTCTCCACATCCTCTCCAGCATCTGTTGTCTCCAGATTTTTTAATGATCGTCATTCTAACTGGCGTGATGGTATCTCAGTGTGGTTTTGATTTGCATCTCTCTAATGACCAGTGATGATGAGCATTTTTTCATATGTTTTTTGGCCTCATGTATGTCTTCTTTTGTAAAGTGTCTGTTCATATCCTTTGCCCATTTTTGAATGGGCTTGTTTTTTTTTCCTGTAAATCTGTTTGAGTTCTTTGTAAATTCTGGATATCAGCCGTTTGTCAGATGGGTAAACTGCAAAAATTTTTTCCCATTCTGTTGGTGGCCGATTCACTCTAGTGACTGTTTCTTTTGACATGCAGAAGCTGTGGAGTTTGATTAGGTCCCATTTGTTCATTTTGGCTTTTGTTGCCAATGCTTTTGGTGTTTTGGTCATAAAGTCCTTGCCTACTCCTATGTCCTGAATGGTTTTGCCTAGATTCTTAAAACGAAAACATATGTTTAGGCTCCCAGATCCTATTTACTCAATTCTTTCTGGCAGAAATAATCTTTTCCTCTTCTGAATGCCTAGAAAAATGTATCTGTATGTCTCATCACAGTACATTCTACCATGTAGTATAGCCACTTACATAGGTACTCTCCCTTCTGGGTGACTGACAATGGAAATGGCTGAATTTGTATATGATTAATTTTTGTTTCACCTACAATGCCTAGTAGAAAAGTGCTTAATAAATGAAAAAAATAAAACAACCCCAACTATTCATCCTTTTTTAGCAAAAACTAAATTCCTACATAAGAAAATAGGCAAATGTGCATTTAAATCCAGATGTGATCTTATAGAAGTACCATTTTCTCAACTTTGAACAGTGTCTAGTGTGTTGTGTCCAATTCATACTCAGCCCCAAAATACATTAGCCCTTCTGCAGATTTCACAGAAAAATAAATTCACACCTTCCTAAATGTAAAATTTGTGGCAGGACCTTAGATATTGACGTTTTACATAAAATTAGTTTTCACTTCAAACAACAAAATAAAATAATTTAGGAGAACTTACTGCTTAGGAGACTCTCCTTTCTTTAGATACAATCACTCCTCCCTTTCTTCTTAATATGACTACTCTGATTTTGTTTGGGTAATAATGTTTGCCCAGCTAAGGGAAATGTATTTCTAAACTTCTCTTCACCTAGGGATAACCTATAACACATATTCTGGACAATGAGATGTAAAGAGAAGTTTCTGGGTTCAGTTTTTGGGAGAGCTCTTTAAGGGGGCAGACTCGGCTGGTGCGCTTCTTGTGCCCTTTCATGTTCCCCGTTCTTCTTCCCACCAAGAGCATGGATATCTAGCAAGAGGTGGTCAGGCATAGGGCGAAAGCTACTTGCTAAGGACTGCAGAGAATAAAGAGAAGGAGCATGGGTTTCTGACGGCACCATGAAGTCTGCAAGAGCCCATCTCTAGATTTCTAACTATGTGGGAAAAAAAAACCCCTTTAACTTAATTAAACCATTGGTGGGGTGGGGGAGTTCTGTTACCTGCAGCCAAATGGAGCCTTAACTGATACTAGAAATAATTCTCAATCCACCACAGATGCAAGCTTGCCTAAGCCTCAATACAACAAACATGTACTGCATCTCAGAAAGCAGATACTCTTTCCAAATACAGTAAAAAGCCTCTAGTTGTGACTTGTGGTTTGGTGATTATACTGTAATATACTGAACGGATAATGAAATGATTATAATTGCATACCATCTGAAACTCCAAAGCGTCGGTAATGTAGACAAGTCCCCAGGTGTTTCACAAAAGCCAAGGCTAAGTGGGATGGGATTAAAGCAATCAAATCTGATAAGAAGAAACCCAGGAACACACTCAGGCAACGTTAAAAGCAGACATATAAATGGTTGTATGTAAACTAGCAGCAGAAATCAGCCTCTCCAGGCACCCTCATAGCCTGTACTGGTCCCCATCCTACAGCCCCATCAACTGAATTGCTCCATCATGTGGACTGTTTTGTTCTGATATCCATTCATAAAAGGACAGAAGAATTGTATGAAGTTCTCTCTAATAATTTGTAAGAAACATGAGGTTTTGATGTATAATATTAACAACACAGGCATAGGAGCTGCACCATCATTAGTCAATGTCCTGGGAATGAGAGAGCTGTGTAAGCACTGGCCTCCACTCAAGACCTAGTCAACATGTACTCAGCATATACATGACTGCTGGTTCTTTGCTGGGTGTGGGAAACAGTCATACTACAGCGAGAAGACTCACAGAAAACCACAGTTTGAGGGTTGGCTTGGCCCCAGGCAAAAGACTGGAAAGGCCCTCCTTCCCCCACAATAGAAGGGTGCTCATGGGTGGGAAGGAAAAATTTGTGATAGAAAGAACACAGACTGCAACTTGGAAGGTTCCAGGGAAGCAGATCTGGGCTCTCTTACTAGAAAGATAATACTGTTCAGAGATTAAATTCTGGGAGGATTAAAAAAAAAATACCTTCCAGAAAAACACTCCTTTTAGCCTTCACTCAGGCTTCTTGGTGATGGAGGAGAGCTGGATGCCTCTTCGTAGTGAAATTAACTCTCTACATTCTTTTTTTTTTTGAGAATGAAGGGAGATACAGTAGGCAAATGCTACTCTGTATTTGAGTAGGTTAATGTTTCTTTGTGACCCCTTTACTCTGATTTCAGATTAGCAAACATTTCTATGTAATATTCTTCCCATATAAGATTGGGTCCCAACTTGGATGAAGTTCCCATAACATATACAAAGCCACTTCTTGTCTATTTCTCTCTGGAAGCTGAAGTATTGAGATGATACATTTTCTTGAACATCTAAGCCACTAATCACTCACCTTCCTACAATCAGGGCAAGACTGTTTAGTGCAAAGAACACATTCCGATTTTTATGCAACCCTGTGATGCTGTAAAAACCTCCAGGCCAAGGTGAGAGTGAGAGTAACTGTTTCTGTTTTGGCAAAAGTAAGCTTCCAAAAGGCCTTTGTCTCACACTGTAGAGTTCTTGGCTGTCTTCCATTCACAATGTTTGTCAGCTGGGACGAGACTGGGGGCTGAGCAAGAGAAACAGTACAACTTTTCTGGTGCTGCTGTAAAGCACTGGGCAGTACTATGACTCCAACAGAAACAGGGGGCAATCCAGAAGTTGCTGCTGCTCATACAGAGAGACCAATTACCAAATACCTGAGACAGGACATGGTGCCGTCAAAGATGTCGGAAGCCTTCCGACACATTCTCTCATTTCTAAAACCACTGATGAAGCTCCCTTTCCTTTAGTGAGTAGCAAATACAGATGCTTACCTGTACTTGCATCCTTTAGGGTAGGTCATTTGAGGTGGTAAGAAAGAAAAATTTTGAAACTATTATTTACTAACCAGCTGAGATCTGTGTGCTTCAGAGAGTCTCTAAATTAACTGTACTTGCCGACATTTAAAAAGCAAGGAAGATAATCATAACTAGATATTCAAACATACTCAAAACTGAGCTTGGACTGGTGTGTGGCATGACCAGCACAGTGTAACCATGAGATAGCTTGCTAAGACTAGTGCAGTTCATAACCATAAAAGCCAGTGAAACCAACTTGCCCTAAGATATCACATGGATGACCTTCCCTGATTAGCAGCCACACCCTCATCTAACCACCAGACCAATCAGTCAGACACTGGTTGACATTCTGATGTAAATTTAGACTCATATAATCATAGACTCTGCTTTGCTTTACATTTCTTTCATATCTCCTTCAATGTCCAGCACTGTCTGATCACACACACATACATACAAAGATTGGCAGACTGACTTTTTTCTTTTTGAAACAAATCTCTTTAATAAATGTTCATTAGAAGTGTTAAAAATGATTTAATAAATGTTCTTTAATAAATATTCATTAGAAGTATTAAAAATGATTTTTAATTCTGCTCTCAGATACAACCTGTTAACATTTTCTATGCATATACAAACTTATTTTCTACGTATATGTATGTATTTATGTGTGCTGACAAAAAACAGAGTCATATGACACCCGATGTTTTGGGGCCTGTTTTATTTCGTTCAATTGTCTATCTATTCTGAGCATTTTCTCCTATCTATAAAGGTAGACCTAGACTGCTGTTTTTAATGGCATATTTTCTATTATGGTTTATTATAATTTACTTAACTAATCATCAATGCTATAAATCGACACACTGAGGTACATCTATATTTGAAGCAATGGAAAGATGTAAGTATGTTCAACAAACTATTTTTGAGTTAAAAAAAACAGGCCCCCAATATATTTTTCTTTTTTTTTCACAAATAGGAAAGCACCCCCAAAATCTTATAGTTCCATTTGAAACACCAGGTGCATGCACACACACACATGCACACAGTCAGGTTACCAATGCATTTTGCTTTCTAAGAACAGCGTTGTGATAAACATCATGTTATCTATGCCTTTTCACATATGCTGGATCATTTCCTTAAAGTAGAATAGCTAGATCAGAAACCTCTTTGTTCTTCTGTTTCAAAACTTTAAAATATATATTCCCAAATTGCTCTCAGTAAAGGCTCTATCAATTTGTATCTCATCAGTATGTCTGAAAGGATTAATTTACTTATCATTCCTTTGATTACTATGAAAAAACAGCTTGTACCCCATTAAAAGCTAGCTCACAATTTGATGCTAATCCTGTTTCTTGTCCTTTGTATGTTTGTAAGATATTTATGCCTTTGGACAAACATGTCAATAATCCACAAAGAAATTATTCTAAAGAATAATCATTTAATCCTGATATTAATAATTCCTTTAATTTTTTCTTCTCATAGCTCTCTCTAGCAATTATGAAAAAATTAATCTGCATACCATATTTAATTGTTCAAATAAGTAACTATTAGTTTTAAAAATGGAGCTAATTAATACTTAATGAGCCTAAGCTTCTCCTAAGACACTTTCTTTAATATCTTTTTAATCAATTTCTGTTTCCGGCACGGGAGGTTTAAGGAAAACCCCCAAGTTGAGATCATAATGCTATGTATATTTAAAGTTAAAAATAATACATAATAGAAGAGATATCTGTATATCTGTGTTCATTGATGTATTATTCACAATAGCCAAGATGTTTAAAAGAAACCTAAATGTCCATCAATGGAAAAAGAAAATGTGGTAAGCAGTACCCACAAAAATTAAAAAGAAGAAAGTAAAAAAGAGAAAACGTGGCATGTATATATGTATACACATACAATGAAATGTTATTCAGCTTTAAAAAAAAAGAAGGAAATTTGTCATATGTTACAACATGGATGAATCTCGAAGATACTTTCATAAGTAGAGTAATCTCATCACAAAATCATTCTACTTAACATGAGGTAATGAAACTCACAGAAAGTAGAGTGGTAGTTGTCAGAGGCTGGGGTGGGAAAGAGGAAAACAGGGAGCTGTTCGATGATTACAGTTTCAGTCATGCAATATAAAAAAGTTCTGGAGGTCTGCTGCACAGTATGCGTATAGTTAACAATACGGTACTGTATACAGAAAAACTGTTCAGAGGAAAAGCATTTATATATTTTCTACCTAACTGAAAAAAAAAAAAGTGACACATAATTATAAGAGAAATTAACTTTTATTAACTTTTTTTTTTTTTTGAGATGAAGTTTCCCTCTTGTTTGCCCAGGCTGGAGTGCAATGGTGCAATCTCAGCTCACTGCAACTGCCATTGAAGTGATCCTGCTGCTTCAGCCTCCCGAATACCTGGGATTACAGGCATGCGCCACCAGCCTGGCTAATTTTGTGTATTTTTAGTAGAGACAGGGTTTCTCCATGTTGGTCAGGCTGGTCTTGAACTCCCGAACTCAGGCGATTAACCCGTCTCGGCCTCCCAAAGTACTGGGATTACAGGCGTGAGCTACCATGCCCAGACTTTTACCATGGGTCAGGCATTGCTTTAAGTGCTCTGTATATTATCTCATTTATTCCTCCCAATCATATGACCTGTATCTCCTCATTATCACCATTTACAGAAGAAGAAACCAAGGCACAAAAAATGTTAAGGAATTTGTTCATAATCGCAGAGGTACTGAGTAGTAAGCTGGGATTCAAACCCATAGAGAATGATTTAAGAACCTGCTATACTATGCTGCTTTGCTTATTTATGTTGTGCTGATTTTCTTTTAAAGCAAACATATGTAAAGCAAATTTATTTAAATCATACCTCTTTTCTAAAGCAAATCTAGCAATGTGCCCCATTTCCACCAAATGTATATAAAGGACAGATTTCATTCACCTTGCTCCAAGATCATTCTCTTTCTAGAGAAGGAAAGGCTGAAGATTGTCTGTAAAACAAATGTTTGTAACTTGCTGTTAAAGTGAAAAGTGTATGTATAAAGATAACCTCAAAAGATCAGCCATGACCCCAGATAGAAAGCTCAACTGGCTAAAGAAAGATAATTCTGCCGCATTTTCAATTGTGTGTTTTATTATTTATTTGCTAGTACCTGTAAGAAATTATTTTTATATCAGGGCCCTTGTTCTCCTAATGTGTCTGTATCTTGTGCGTCCTGATTACTAAAATGAAATAACTAGTCAAAGGCCATCTCTAAGTTTCCTTTACAACTTCGAGGTTATAAACATCTAACTTGTCTCTGTCTCAAAATGCATAATTTGTTTTGTTTGGCCCAGAATCTAACATGGTTGGTCTACTGTGAATATCTTGCACAGACCTTACTGTCATATACTCATTAAGTATTTTTCCCCTGGCTGCCACCATCTCAGATGGATGAAGTCTTTCATCATCTCACACAAAGTTACAACTTTGAGTCCCTCAAACACCTACAGACAAACAGAAACAAACCACAGGCCATGGAGGGAGAGAAGAGAATGAAACTGGTCACCAGACAGCTGCAGCAAATTCACATGTTCACATTACACAACAAACAAGATCAATCCTGAGTGGCTAGTACGTGAACAAGTTGCCTCTAACACCTTCTACCAAGCTGCATTCTGAATCTTAATTGATTACACTGACCCTTTTTTTAAAAAAAGATTTGTGTATATGAGAGTACATAGCAGTGCAGTAGCAATGATGCTGGAATGCCTTATCTGACTGATGATAAACGTGTAAAATAAAAAGAAAATGAAGAGTCAGTTCTGTCGTGGGGGAGGATGGTAGAGTAGAAAGGGGCTTTGGAAGTCCTCTGACATGGTATGAATATTATCTCTGCAATTAGGCAGCTGTGTGATCTTGGCTAAGTTACCCAAACTCTTTGAACATGGGGTTCCTCATCAGTGGAATGCAGATAAGACTAATCTAGTGCACCGGAAGCATTTACTATATGTTCATTTTCCTCTAAGATTCCAGAAGAATATTCCCCCAGCAGCAGCTTAGAAAACAGCATGATGATAACCAGGGGACTTATGTTACTATCAGTAATAAATTAACGCAATGAACTAATGTCTATATGGTAATAATACACTAAGATCAAACATATGGTATTGAAAAAGCAAGCATAATATGAATTAGTCAAACATGTCATCTGTGGTAGTCACATTTGTAGACATCTGTCATGTTTCCTGGGAGTTTTCTGAAAAACATCTATCATAGAAATAAAATTAAAATAGTATTACCAGTAACAGTAACAATGTTGAAAGGACAATGTAACAATGAGAGAAATCATTCCATGTTACTAATAAAACAGGAATTAATAACAACCCATATAAGCGCTCCTAATCTCCAAACCTCTAGAACAAATGTCAGGATACCGCATGGCTTGTTAGTTGCTAAACCTATTACTTAATCAAAGTGCAAGGGAGGGTAAAGTATGGGCATTTCTAAGATTGTTAAGCCCAAGAACACCATATTAAGATATTTCTTTAATTAAGAATTGAGGTAACTAGGATAATATCCAGGCCTAACTTCAGGAAAACTTTTCTTTTGAGATGGTGCTTATGAATAGTAGAAGACTGGTGAAGACACCTGAGAATAACTTTTCAAACACAGTCTCATAAGAGTCAGTTAAGTACTTGCTGGACAGGGGCAGTGGCCTGTAATCCCAGCACTTTGGGAGGCTGAGGTGGGCGGATCAGGAGGTCAGGAGTTCGAGACAAGCCTGGTCAATATGGTGAAAACTGATCTCTACTAAAAATACAAAAATTAGCCAGGTGTGGTGGCATGCACCTGTAGTCCCATATACTTAGGAGGCTGAGGCAGGAGAACTGCTCGAAGCCGGGAGGCAGAGGTTGTACTGAGCTGAGAAGTTGTAGTGAGTGCCACTGAACTCTAGCCTGGGCAACAGAGTGAGACTCTGTCTCAAAAAAAAAAAAGGTACTTGTTGAATATATAAATTGCAACATAAAATTTATGTAATAGAAACTGTAGCTGTTGTTTATTGAATGCCTTGTTAGCAGGAGGCAGCAGCAGCATATAGCATAATCGCCAAGAGCTTGGATACTGCAGGCTGACAGACCAGGGTTCAAATCCCAGTTCTACCATTTATTACTTATGTGACCCTGAGAAAGCTACATAAATGATACTATGCTTTTTCATCTGTGAAATGAGGCTAAGAAGAGGGCAGCTCTGAAGATCCACTGAAATAACACACAAAAAATGGCCACTTTGGTGCTTGACATATGGTAACATCAATGTTACATCCTGAGGACGACAATCATGATAACACACAGGCATGTATCATTATCTCCAAATTAGAGATAAGGAAAATGAGGTTCCAAAAGTCTGAATAACCTGTCCTAAGTCATGGACTAGACAGGGCCAAGACTTAAACTGTGTGTTGGATGACTCCGAAGCCTGTCTAGAGTGCCTATTTCCAAAACAACTGAATGCAGTATTATTTCATGTATTTTCAATATATTTTCATTAAATAAGAATAAAAGAGTTTGGTTTGGCAAAATCTACTAAATCAAATGGTCGTAGGAAAATCAATAATAACTAAAAGCTAGACACTAAATGAGTTCCTGCTAAAGGTCAGTTGGAAAAATAAAACAGATCAAAAGAAGGAACCAAACAAAAAAACAAAGAAGCAATAGGTTACGACATTAAGTTCTGGAGTCCATATGCTCCAGGACTTAGACACACACACACACACACACACACACACACACACACACACACGCACACACGCCTCCCGCTCTCATGCCTCCAGTCCATATGCTCCAGATCTTAGACACACACACATACACACACACACACACACACACCCTCCCCTCTCATGCCTCCAGTCCAGCCTTATAAAGATGTATCAAGACATCTCCTGCATGGCTAGGCTGTTCGCCTGCTCTTTGTGCCACACTGAGGAGCTAGCATGTTATTGCTGGCTGCTTGGAAAAAGGGTGCTTGCTGAATTTCTCTTTCTTTCCCCTCCTCCACAACACAAACACACAGCAGCTGAAGGCTTGGCGAAACAGAATTCATTCCTGCAGGAGGAGGCAGAATTTTTTTAGACACATGCAATGAACTTTTAGGAGCACAATAACAAGATTTGGTTTGGTTTATATGGGAATCCTTTCCACACGTGGGGTTGTGCATGTATACACATACCTTTAGCAAAAAGCTGGTTACGCACAGCACTCAAGATATTACCAGCAAACTGAAAGGCTTCTTGATGTGAACACTGAGCTACCATCAGTCCTGTCTGTTACAGGAACATGAGTTTCTGCTGGGATTACTGAATCCAGATTAGATTGGTCAACCTGGGCATGGTGGGAAGGGAGAAGAAAGAACAGATGGGGCAGAAGGATGAGAGAAACAGGATGCACAGTTTTCTCCTATCCTGAGTTACTTACTAATGTTGAAAGTTAAGTCTTGAAGGGCTAAACTTAAAATTGAAGGGCTTTGTAAAGAGACTGGAACCAGTGAAGAATTAAGATGTATTTAAAATCCCTTTTATCCCATTATTGTTACAAGAAACTTCAGCAATACTGTGTTGGCCATCAAAATGTCCTTAACTTTTCTGCTTTTAGGGCTCTTTCTCGCTCTGGATGAGGCAGAGAAGAGAGTGGGAGGGAAGGAAGCAGGGAGTGGGCTGGGAGCAGAAGTTTAACAAAGGATCACTTTAACAGAAACTACTGAGTAATCGCTCTGTCCTGCGCCAAGAATAACATCAGCTCAATGTCTGCAATTAGAATCAGGTCAGTCGGGCCTCACAGCCGGTGCAGCCCTCCTCACAGACCCCAGCATGGAGAGCTACTCATGCTGATGTCACCAGTAGTCACTGTTGCCCAAGAAAGTCCCCGACTCAGCTGAAAGAAAGGTTTTTTTGCCTTCTCCTTTAGGAGCAGGAAGCCAGCAGGAGAAGGAGAAGGAATTAGACAGAAGACATGCATTGGGCTGTATCAATCTACAACAGATTCGCTTGACTATTCCTAACTCTTGAGATTCTGTACTTCCCCCAACCATACTAAAATTCATTTTAAATGAGTTAATGTGTATAGAGAACCTGGAATGGTGCTTGGAACACAGCAAGTGCTTAGTGAGTGTTGGCTATTATTATTAAAACAAAAAGAGAGGCTGAGTCTGCCTATTCATTAGGTTATTCGAAACCTAATGAATCAGCAATGGGATGGAGGAACAACTGGTGTTTTAACAAGCCCTTCAAATGGTTCTGTTACTCTAGTCTAGGGATCTGCAGACTAGGGCCTACAGGTCAAATCCAGCCCATGGCCTGCTTTTGTACATCAAGTTTTGTTGGAAGACAGCCACACTCATTCATTTACATATTGTTTATGGCTGTTTTCACTCTGCCACAGCAGAGCTGAGTAAGTACAACAGAGATGCTGTGGCCTGCAAAGCCTAAAATATTTACTATTAACAAAAAAAGTTTGCTGACCTCTGCTCTGACTTAAAACAATATTTTTCAAACTGCTGGTTTTACCATCGGTGTGTAAAAGCTCATAGTTTCAATTTTATCTTATTTTGTTTATTATTCTCTCTATCATATGGACTGTATCACAGTAATTTTCTTGTCTCTCAGTCCCTGAAAACTTCTGCCATTGGCTCTGGGTGACTTTCCTCTCTCACTCCCATGTTACAGGATCAGTCTTTTGCAGGGGGGATTAAGTGTATGACAACTGCTAGATTTATGAGTGCAATGCTAGACTGAGATGAAGATCAAAGCTCATTCTCCATGAATGCTGAGAGATGTCCATTTCCAAACTCAAATCCTAAATCAGAGTTTAAGCAGACATTAACACCTTCAATAAGCTGGATATCTAAGTGCTCTGATTTGAGGCAGAAAAGAAGGGAGAAGTTCCTCTGTATTCAATGAGAGAAAGGCTGCATGATCGATTCCGAGACACTGTTAGGAGGTTACTATGTGAGAGGTGCTGTTCATAAACATAATATAATATAATGCAATATCACATAACAAAATATAATATAAATGTAAGGCCTCCTTTAACATCCTGTTCCATTAACAGGCCTCTTTTATGGACGGATGCTAGGTAAATCAGATTTCAATCCTATTCACTGCTTTCAAACAGGCAGTTAACCACACTGTTATACCAATGGCTCCCTACACTTTAGGAAAATGAATCCAAAGTGTGAGTTCATTAGAAAAGTACCATTGCTATCTGAAGGGTAACCCAAGGTCAGAAACACAGAATACTGAGAATGTAAACCATGCTTCAATCGACAATTTAGTGATAATTATAATGGTCAGATTTAGCACAGGTAAGATACAAAGGCATAAAATCTAGTTGGGCTTTGCTTCCACTGTGCAGTGATTCTAAGTACCCTCTGAAATAAAGTGCTCTAGGTTTCTACATATTCTTCCTGTTAGAATATTTAATATCTTATTTGCTACTTTATTATTTATAAACACTTGAAGGCAGTGAAATTTAGTTACTTTAGCTCTCTCCTAGAGTCCCAAAAACTCACCCTTACTCATTTTTATCTAAATTAGCTGTGGTTTAGAAAAACGGGTTCGGGGTGTGGGGGAGAAGAAATAAAATAATGTTATACACATATACAATTATGATGAATGATTTTCTGTTCGCTCTCCAGGAGAATGAGATAACTCCCTTCTTGGGAGTTCTGCCTCCTGCCTAAAACAGATATTCCGACACATTCTAAAAAACATAATTTCCATATACTTCATAATTCAGTGAAATCAAACCAGTATAATCCTCAGTGAAAAGAAATTCCATACAAGAATAGCAGTACAGTACTCTGAATTTTCAAAGGAATGTGAGTTGTTGGAAGCTAATCAAAAGTATGAGAAGGACTTAAAAATGAAGCAATTTCTAAATGTGCAAATCAGCAAAACTGCCTCTCCTTCAATCATCCACCATTTCAAGGTATTGAAGCATGATTTAAAATGTACCAACTGTCTAGATTCAATAGAGCCAGAGATTTTTTTTTCTAACTTTTATTTTAGGTCCAGGGGTACATGTTCAGGTTTGTTATAAATGTAAATGGCGTGTTGCAGGGGTTTGGTGCACAAATTATTTTGCTGTCCAGGTAATGAGCCAAGGACCTGATATGTAGTTTTTTGATCCTCATGCTATATAGTGATACTTCCACTATCCAGTATCTGATTAAGCTGGCATTCTCAAGTACTCTGAAAGACAGGGAGTTTAAAGTTTAAAAAGCTTTAAGAAATCTAAGAACACAAATTTAAGCAAAAACTAAGACACACATTTGTATCTCCAGTTGTGAAAATGAAAAGTGGCTTAAATGTGTCTACTCTCCCCAAGACTTTCTAAATGAAGAAAATTTTACCTGATAGAAAGCGATATGGTAATTACAATGAGATACTATACTCTATGCTTTCCAGATTAAGAAATCTTTTCTCCAGTAAAATTGGTCTAAAGAACTACTTCACAAATGCTTGCACTTATAATTTCTCAATTTGATGAATTAATGTAATGTACAGAGTATACTACTGGAGGTAAAGATGATCAAATGATGAACTATGTTGAAATAACAAAATGACATTTTGTTATACGTAGTAGTTGAAAAGGTAAGACACAAAGTATAATAATAATTGTTTTATTTAGAGGAAAAAACCGTTGGTAAATGTTGCTTTAGTCTTTGAGTAAATAATAATTTTGTACAAACTCATGCACATTATGTATTACATTTTTATAAGAAAAAAATGATTGATCAGGAGCTCAAACTGAGAAAAGGTTATCTCTTCACATAACCAAATGTCAGAAAAGCTTATAGAATCAGTACTAATTCAGTCCAATAACTCCATTGTAAAAACATAGTAATTATTCTAATGATGATCCTGAGTCAGCAAGAAAAATTTAACTCTTTGTGGCCTGAAGTTTTGGTGAGGTCATCCTTTCTGTTCTCTACAACTGGGCCATATTGATAAATTAGGGCATTATACTTATATAGCTCCCTCACACAAACACTCAGGAGTTTCTGGTATTTTACAGACAGTGAGTAGTGAATCGACATCTCCCTACACATAAGTTCCACAACAGCAAGGATTTTTGTGTGTACAGTCACCTTATAGCCCCACTGTTTAAAACAGTGCCTAGTACACAACAGATACACAGTAAACATTTGTGGAATGAATAGCTATCATTTATAGAAGACCTGCAGCCTAACGTACAGCCATTTCCTACCAAAAGAACTTGCAAGTTATTTATTCCTTGAAAATCTTAGACAATGAGTAGTATCACTTATGTATGCCAAGTATATCAAGGCAAGAAAGTAGAATATTTAGAAATAAAGATGATTAAAATGCTAGCTTTCAGGTACCTTAGAAACAGACCGTATGAGAAGTTACTAAACTAAGATCATACAACAGAAAGGGGAAACACTACAACAGAGATTTTTGCATAGCAACATTCAAATCAGGAAACCATGTCAAACACTGGTTAAGCATCACCTTCAAGCAAAGCCAATGTTATGGCTGCAGAACAGTTCTTCCTCAAGAGTAGATTCCCCCATGAGCTATCCAAGCCAGGGTGGCATGCGTTTGGAAAACTAATCCTATATTTCTCATTCATTCACCTTAAAAAAAAAAAAAAGCCAACAGCAGGAAGATATTAACAACATGGAAAAGATACTTATCTTGAATTACCTGGTGCCGGGCTGAACTCTGGTCCAGAAGCTGCCGGGACTGAAGTTTTTGTTGCTCAAGTTGCTGCAGGGCAAAATGGAGCTGGTAGCTGCCCGCTGTGGGGTGATACTTGTGCTGGGGGACCACCCCTGTAGCCTTGCTGTACACGTTGTTTTCTACCTCTCCTTCCCAGGCAAAGCCACCTGTCTGGAGGCTCCTGAAGAGAAAAGCACTCAGGTTACTTAGAGTGAGTGGTTGTATGAACAATGTAAAGGAAAGGAGATAAATGTCTTGGGTATTTTTCCTGTATGGAACCAAGCACAGTTTGGAACTACAAATCTACTTGTGTGATATTATCTGACTCCCCCACTAAACCGCAGCTCCATGATGACAAGGACAGGGTCTGCTTTGCGCTCTGTTCTTTTCCTAGCACATAACATAAGGCCTGGCACATGGTAAATGTACAATAAATATTTGCTGGATGTTAAACAACTGAAATAACAACTTCACTCCCCTGTGATTGCCAGAAGACCTAGAAGAGCTCGGAGAGCTTCAAATGCAGGATAGTGGGCTAACTTAAGGCAGGAACAGACGCACAATCATCTTCTCCAACATCAACTTCAAAAGGAAAAGGGTTCTTCACACACAGTTCTTGTTTTTTGTTAACCATGCATTAGTTAAATATCTAAATATTTTTAGAAGCTGTTTATATTTGAGCTTATGTCCCTATCACTGGGTAACATAAATGGTATGGGAAGACACTTTTTTCATTATTCCAAATTTACCTCAATATGGTCCCCACTGAGGCTGACAATCTGTACACCCCAGGAAGGCGAAGTGCCGGGGGCCTTTTTTAATAATCAGTACCTATGCTATGCTATATTTGTTAAATACTTTGACTGCCTTCCTTGCCTATTTATTTATTTAGATACAGGGTCTTACCCTGTTGTCCAGAATGGAGTGCAGTGGTGCAATCACACTCACTGCAGTCTCGACCTCCCCATACTCGGGTGATCCTCCCACCTCAGCCTCCTGAGAAGCTGGGACTATAGGGGCATGTGTGCCCCCATGCCTGGCTAATTTTTGTATTTTTTGTAGCGACAGGGGTTTCACCACATTGCCCTGACTGGTCTCCAACTCCTGGGCTCAAGTGATCTGCCTGCCTCAGCCTTCCAAAGTGCTTGGATTGCAGGTATGAGCCACTGCACCCAAACCCCAAGTTCTTAAATTCTAGATTCTGGTGACCATGTCTATGTACTTTCTAGCAGAAGTCTTTACAACTCTAGGCTACATTTCCCCTCTCAGATCATTGTTCCCAGTAGAAAAGACCCCATTTATACCACATTGCTCCCATTTGGCTGGCCATTATCAAAACAAAATACCTGAAGATAACAAGGGTCTCTGGGGATGTAGAAAAACCGAACCCTTGTGCAATGCTGGTGGGAATGTAAAGTGGTACAGCTACTATGGAAAACACTTCCGGGGTTCCTCCAAAAGTTAAACACAAAATAACCAAATGATCCAGAAATGTTCCTTGTAGATATATACGGAAAAGAACTGAAATTAAAACTAATAACTGTATACCAATGTTCATAGCAGCACTGTGCAAAATAGCCAAAAGATGAAAACAACCCAAATGTCCATCAACAGATGAATTTACATATAATATGTACAGAACCTTGAAGATATTATGCTAAGTGAAATAAGTCAGTCACAAAAGGACAAATATTATATGATGCCACTTATGTGAGGTACCTAGAATAGGTAAATTTTAGAGACAGAAAGTACAGTGGTGGTTGTCAAGGGCTATGGAATTAGGGAATAGGAAGTCATTTTTCAGTGGGTACAGGCGCTTCAGTTTGGGGTGATGACAAAGTTCTGAAGATAGATGGTGGCTAATAGTTGCAAAATAGTATAACTGTAGTAAATGCCATGACACTGTACACTTAAAAATGGTTAAAGTAGTAAATTTAATGCTAAATATATTTTAATATGATTTTCTAAAGGTCTCATTTCTTTTGAGAACAGTCTTATTTGTCAGTCCTTTGATTCCTTAACACTTTTGGTTATTCTTGGGACCTTCCTCTTTGTTTTTATTTCATTCGCTGCCCAGACTGGAGTGCAATGGTGCAATCTCAGCTCACTGCAACCTCCATCTCTCAGGTTCAAGCGATTCTTTGCCTCAGCCTCCCGAGTAGCTGGAATTACAGGGAAGTGCCACTATGCCTGGTTAATTTTGTATTTTTAGTAGAGATTGGGTTTCTCCATGTTGCTCAGGTTGGTCTTGAACTCCTGACCCCAGGTGATCTGCCTGCCTCGGCCTCCCAAAGTGCTGGGATTACAGGTGTGAGTCATTGCACCCAGGCTGGGAGCTCCTTTAATTATACCATATATTTTTTTTTAGGTACTGTGATAAGAAAACTACATAGAAGAAACTCATAGTGAACAACCTTGCTCCAAGCCCTGGTTAACGGAACTTAGAAAAATGAAAAGATGCCTAAATTGAGAGACGTGTTCATAGTGATTTAAATCAGTGTTATTCTTTCACAGAGATGTAGCAACACTGGAGTGAGGCTACACAGATCTTCCTGAGTCCTGACCTATAAGCCACTTGCTTATTTATGGCCTGTCCTGATGACTCAACAGAGCACTGTGGGAGGGAGCAAAGTGCAATGTTTGCTGAGCTCAGAAGTCCATGCTTCTCTGTTGCCTGTGCCTTCCCTTACGGCCTGGTCTTTTGGGGCCTCTGCTTTCGTTTCTCAACTCTCTTAGAGAGATTTCCAAATCCCTTGTTAAGGGTAAGTCTGTCAACTGTATTCTGAAGTCCATGGATGAAAGGCTTTCTACTCATAATCTCACCTCTGATATGTCACATCCCTTACTCATCTCCTCCCACAGTTTGGCTCCCACAGTTCAGTTTCTCAATTATATACCATCTGCTAATCTTCTTGGAGAACACACCAAAAAGCTCACAGCTTATCTATTAAGTTTTCTGAGTGTGACATTTGATCTTGAGTGATCCTTCTTCAAGTGCCTCAGTGTGCATGTTATTAGACAGTTAAAAGGGCATGATCTTTCCCAAGAGACTTCTAGAGATATGGAGAAATATGGTGAGCACTGATCAAATATAAATAAATACTTCAATACATTAATAAAATGTTAACATTATTCACAAAGCAGGGTGTTGAGTGAGAGTAAAACAGGATTACATTGTTAGGAAAGGAGGAGCCTGAAAAACCTGTTATCTTTTTTCTCATTAGTGAGGGAAGAGAAAACTTAATGAAAACAGAACACCCAGAACTACTGAATAGCTACTGGCTCAGCTAAAGGAACAGAGTCAGCTGTGAGTAGAAGGGGCAGCCAACAAGGAAGGTATCTAGGTTCAAGGCAGGAGTGGGCTGATCTGGTGAACAAATGCATACAAAGGAAAGAAACAGGTGAAAAAGCAGGAATGGCTTTAGCTGACTAACCTTGAGATTTTCACATTAATTAGGGCAGGTGCTGCTTTGAATCCAGAATGAAACTATTATTTACAACAAATGGACAAAAGTTCTGACAGCCCATCAACAGTGATTCTGCTTTCATTCTTGCTTTGCTGGTTACAGAAGTTTCCAGCTACAGGAAGCAATCTAGACTCAGAGATTAGATTTAAAGGACTTATATAACTATAAAACTTACGTCAGAATTCATTTCACTGGCTAGCTAGATTGGTTCATTTGCTAAAAGCTGTTTTAATAACAAATATCCCCAGGAGACATTCACTTTAATGCCTTCTTGTGCATTAGAAATTAAAGTCTGTAACCAGCTCCCTTTATTTGGGGATGATCATGGACAGGTTTGCAGGTGTGTGAATATGAGGTGGGGGGGGGGGTCTGTGGATGCATAAAGAGTAGGACAGTGGGCAAGAGAAGATCAAATAAGGAATTATGTATAAGAAGGGATGTGTTCCTCCAACTGTACACATATTGAACACACTGGAACATCATAAACTTTTACAATGAAATCTGTTTTAATCTCATCAGTAACATTAGCCCAGTCTACAAATCACAAAAGGAAGTTTCTCAAGCAAGTGGAGGCTTTTAGCAAAGAGGCAGGAATTTTTATAGTGCAACAGTGGGTGGGGCAGAAACGCTCAGCTGTGTAATGTAATCAGTACCACGAGAAACTTGCTTGCTTTGAGTTACAGTGGGTGTTACTCAGGTCATGGTATCTCACACGTAAAGCACAAGCCTTTGGGGTTTGCAATATGCAAGTGCTATAATGATCGACACAGACGAGGCCAGGTGTACTATAATGTGGCCTTTCCTTGATTTCTGGTGCCTGAGTTTATATATCTAAATATTCCTTTCTAGGCAGCTGATAGTTTCCATTTCAACAAAAATTCCATCCCATTCTTGAACCTCAACGAATTCTATTTTTCTAATGTTTTCTACTACCAAAAATTTTGAGGTTCAATCAATCTCTCCAAACTTCAGTGTTTTTCTTTGCTCAATACTAAAACATAGTATTGTACACAGGCCCTGTAAATGTCTTCTAATCATTTTTACTTTACTTCTACAAAAGAGTATATAGAGCCAAGAAAATCAGCTGTGGAAAGGCTCTTTGCTTAACATCTGATTCAAAGTGAATCATGCTATATTTCCCCTGTACATACGTAGTGAATAGGCGACAATATTCCAAGTTTTTCTAAATACTACACTCTCTTATTCACCTATCCATTTATTTTTTCTATATTTTACTGTGGCACTGAAGGATGAAATGTTTTTCTCTACAACTGCCCTGCCTGCAGCATACCTGCAATCTCCAGCAATAAACATTGAAGGACTATACTTTTCCCTATGGTTAAATCAAATGGACACTGGTTTTAGGGAACTTGGAGGGAATCTGAAAAATGTAAAGCAAAACCTCAACAGGAAGTTGTACTCTCTATAACGATATGCAGAGGATTGTTATATTTGTACACAGTGTGATTCCATGGTCCATTTCACCAGCCTCCTCCACCCAAGTCCAGCCAAACATGAGTTACCATGTACAACGAACGATGCCCCTGCTCTTTTTGATGGTGCTTTCAACTGTCACAACGATGGGGGTGGAGGTATCACTGACTTAATAGGTGGAAGTCAGGGTATTAAATATCCAGAAATGCAAGGAATAGTCTTACATTAGGAAAATGTGTTAAAATGCCAGTGGTGCTTCTGGTGAGAAACACTATAAGGC